AGGAAAGGAAAGGAAAGGAAAGAAAAGAAAAGAAAAGAAAAGAAAAGAAAAGAAAAGAAAAGAAAAGAAAAGAAAAGAAAGAAAAAGAAAACCAGATGACAAATAGTTCATGAAGAGTCCTTGGAAAGCAAATAAAACGTTACATTGGAGTTACCACACTGCTTTCAATGGCACATTTAAAGGAACTCAATCAAAGTGTGAAGACCAAGCATTTAACCCAGCCTGACCTTCTTGATACCAGTCCATCTCTTGTCTTCTCTGATCTCTTCATCCTGTCTGAGTGTTGAGAATATTGTTTCCTGGAACACGTAAAGAGGATGGGTCCACAAGTGGACAGTGACATTCAACAACTTAAAAGAGCTGTATATTTCTCAGCTCACTTTGCTCATGGTGTCAAGTAGAATGTTTAGTTTTAGTCTGTCTCATGTACGACTGGAAGTGGCACTCGGTGCTGTGGTTCAGTTCACATGGTGATGTTTGGTCAGAGGACGAACTCAATGATCTTGGAGGTATTTTCCAATCTTAATGATTATATGATTCTATGTAGAGTTCCAAAGGAAAAACTAGGTTTGAGTGTTTTACATCCCAAAGACCATGTGAGGATAAAATTCACGGAAACTCATGAAGCATTCAGTTCATTGAGTCATCAATAGACCAACTTGGAAATAGTTTTGCATTACAAAATGGCATTATAATTTACTAAAATTTTTAAATCTTATAGTATTTGTTTTGGTGAAATTTCCTAAGAGAGAAGAATTCTTTTCAGTTAATTCAAAGTGAATGGTGAAAGTAGCACAAGTCTTCTCACGAGAGAAGGAGAAAGGAAGATAGAAATCTGAAAGCTCTGCAGCTAAAGAAAGGCTGGAACAAATGTCTTCTGCTCCTGGATTCATAATCCAGTTTCTAAATTATAACTGACATACGTTTATGTGAAAAAAAACAAAACAACTGAGTCTGTTTTGTCCAAAAGAGTGTCTTAGAAGTTTATATGTGACAGATTTTACAGAAATGGGTTTCCACCTGATCCTTAGACTTGGGGTTACAGATAAAACTCATTCTTACATAAAGGAACCTAATTCTCCAGAGGTACACAAAAAGGGACATAAATAATTTGACATTTTTCAAATAAGTAAAAAAAAAAAAATAGTGTAGGAAAATGCCTTTGCTTTAATGGATAACATGAAATGAAACAGCACCTGTCAAAGAAAGATGAAAAATAATAGAATGTTCCTTCATTGATCAGGAAGACATGATGCTCTCTGCAAAAAGTTCATTTTCAGGAATTCGGTGTACTTTTTGTAAGAAATGAAGCAACATTTCCTCTTGAAAAAGAAAATTTATTCTTTTAACCTTTTGATTCTGTCTTTAAAGATAAAAGATATATGTTCAAATTAAATATTAGTGAAAATGGTGTAGGAAAAATAAAACTATAGATACAGAAGAATAAAGTCAGAAGACAGATAAAGCAGAATAGAAATACCTAACATTTTTCCTGTTGTTTGTTTTCCTGAAAAGTCATTGTGTGCCTTATCAAAGTCAGGTAACAAAAATGTTCACTGCTAATTCCTCTGACAGTCCACACAAAATATATGTTATGTTGTAGCTGGAATTTCTTTTGCACTGAGCCAAACAGCTTTTTTATGAAATAAAAGCTGAGTGCAGTTCTCAGGTAGAGCACTCGGGAGCTCTGCTGCGCTGACAAAAAATTACATTACTGTCCTAAAAAGTATTGCATCCTCAGTTTGGCAGATTGTGGCATTGATCTCACATTACTCCTTGTATTTGATTGGAAAAAGAACTAAAACTCAGTTTTAGCAAAAACAGTCGAGGGCAAAAGTCAAATGAGAAATAGGTAGTGGTGAATGATATGTGGAGACTCATCTGACTGAGCACAGGGAACCAGCTCAGAGTAAGCTGGAGAGATTTCAAGATGCTACTGAGTCTAATGATTAGGTCTCTACAGGATAAAAACGGGAGCTTAGGTACTGCCTAAGCAGACATTGCCTGCAAACATTACCATGCAGGTATTTCAGTTTTAGCAGCATTAATTGGGAGTTGAATTCCACCTGGGCACTGTCCTCTGCAGAGCAATAAACCTCAACCACGCGACCACAAATCTCTCCACACCTCTTAGGGGAGGCTCTGAAGAGTCCCTCGGCAGGGATATGCCTTTACCTCAGTTCAATTTTGTCATAAACATTTTGAACAGCTACAAGTTGTAATTGTTATCCCCTGTCTCCCCACATTTAAATCCTCATAATGAGAAAATTTGCTTCTCTTTCAGTCCTTCAGGGATTTCGTACGTAGAATTATTATTTTGGCATGAGTAGGTTACAGCTGTGAACACAAAATGAGCACCTAAAGCTATGGAAGGAGATTTATGATCTTTAACTTTGTTCTTATAATGGAAACAACTTTTTTCTCACATGAATAACCTTTGTATAAGCCGGAGACAGAGATTTGTCTGCAAACTAAGGGTCAACAAATTCATTAGCACCTTGTGCTTTATATCAAGTTAATGCCATGCCCTGCTTTCACCAACACAGAGGGCTAAATATTTTCTAAGAAAACAAGAAAATAAAGAACTGAAATGGAAAGGAATGCCTTCAAACTGAACCTTAGAAATCAAGGCACTGCTCAATACACACACAGTTTTTTGCAAGGAGAAAGACAAATAGAAATGAACTGCAAATGATGTGTTTTATTCATGTTGCTGGTTCATGAGTCTTAATCCATGGATTTATCTAGATCAATATAGAAATAATAAAAAAAAAAAAAGACGGAAAAGAGTGGTGAAAAATGTTACTGACCCCATTTAAGTAGCCTCCCTGGCACTGAATTACTTGCTACAAGCTTTACACCTTCCTCTCTGATCGTAGAACATAGAAAGTCTTTTAAGTTGCACGATTTAAAGAACATACAGTAATTTTTGCTTTGAACTGCCCTGCAAAAGAGTCTATATCACTGGGCAGAAGCACAAGGAGCTGCTGTCCGAACATGGCTCTCTGAGTTGGATGTCATTAGAGAGTACAAAGATGCCCCAGTGACAGCATGAAGTAAAGCTTCCACACTGACAAATGGCACAAACTGTTCCCAAGACAAATGGCTAAAGTATTAAATTATAACAGTGTTGGATATCTGCCCTGTGTGGCACCATGTATTTATTCTTTTGTTTCAAGTCAGATAGTGTAGTTACTGCAGATGAGTGAGAAGTCTTTGAGTTTAAGTGCCAGAGGCTAAAGAGATTTTGCCTCAGGATAAAATACAGAAATTATTTAAGAACTGAAAAGTATTGTAAATTTAATAACAATCATGAATAAATTAAACCAGCCTAATTAAAAAATGATAAAATGATAGGCTCTGTAAGAAAAGCCTGACTGTGGAAAGTGTTCTGTTCATATGGAAACGTTTAACTTCTCCAATCCCAGTGCCTGCCTTAGAGTTGACATCTGTATCTTTGCTGTTGTTGTTGTTGTGCTAACATGCTATCTTGGTTCTGCATCTTCTTTCTCTCATTTAATGCCACAGTTATCCAGTTCAGTTTGAATTATGTACATGTTATACCCCACTGTTTCACTTTTCTCCCAGTCAACTGGGAGGAGTACAGGGAAATTGTCTGAGCAGCCAGGGACTGTGTTAGGAAAGCTAGAGCCCTCAGAGAAATAAATCTGGCCAGGGACATCAAGAACAACATGGAAAGTTGGGGCTATTCAGCATGAGAATCAGAAGGCGCCAGGGAGACCTTTTAGCACCTTCCAGTACCTAAAGGGACTCCAAGAGAGCTCAAGAGGGACTTTTGACAAGGGTCTGGAGTGATGGTACAAAGCGAAATGGCTTCAAAATGAAAGAGGCTAAAGTTAGAAAATATATTTGGAAGAAATTCTTTACTGTGAGGGCGGTGAGGCACTGGACCAGGTTGACTAAAGAAGCCGTGGATATTCCATCCCTGGAAGTGTTCAAGGCCAGGTTGGATGGAGCTCAGAGCAACCTGGTCTAGTGGAAAATGTCCTTTCCCATGGCAGGGGGATTGAAAGGTTAAGGTCCTTCCAAGCCAAACCATTCTAGGTTTCTGTGAACTGCAATCACAAACAAGGAGTAGCAAACAAGCCCCCTAGGATTGTCTTCTACTTCCCAGGATATTTCTTCCTGAATGGCCACAGATGCCCCTAAAGGAATTTACTCCTGTTGTCTCATGAAACTGTTCCTCTGTTAATAATTATTATCTGCTCCAAACTCTGTTTCTGACTTCATCTCTTCTTGATGTTCTTTTTCTCTGTCTTGCTGCTACACAGAGCTTCATTCTCTGCTGGGTTCATTACACAGGATCCTTTACTGTTTAGGCAACAAGTGTAAAATGATGTATTGTTGATCACACAGCATAATAAAATCCAGCTGTTTGGTAGCTGAAATCCAGAGTGAATTGTGGTTCTTTCTATAAAAGTGGACGTGACTTCTCCTAAAATTGCATCTTGCATTATTCTACAATTTATTTGCCTTCTATTATGTATTTCTGATGTATCTGCCATTTACTTACATTCTGCCATCACACTTATTACATATTTTTGCCCAGTTATTAAAGCTCTCATCCCTGAAAGCGCCCACAGACCATCTGTGAATCAGATGAATTTGGTGCTCCTTTCATAATTCCAGTGTGCATCCAGCAGCAGCTAGACTGGAACCTTCTTGCTTTCCCGTACATGGCCCAATGTTACATGCAGAATCTTCTTGGGTTTACATTCAAATACATTTTACTTATTCGTAATTGCAACTTAGAGGTTCATTTCAGACTCAAGTTAACCATGAACAGCATTTAAAAAGGTAGAGCAGAAATGTGATTTTTTAATTGTTAAGTAAAATAATAGGATCATAGAATCATGAAATGGTCTGGGTTGGAAGGGACCTCAAAGATCATCCAGTTCCAACTCCCTGACATGGACAGGGGCACCCTAAAGCTGAACAGGTTGCCAGAGCCTCATCCAACACTTGAATTCTTCCAGAGATGGAGCATCCACAACTTCTCTGGGTAACCTCTTGCATGTTACTGCTGGCAGTCCAGATTTTAAAATTCCAGCATTCAAGTGGTCAAATAAGTTAAAAACTTACTGGTTTTTTGTGTGTTCATACGTTACATGTGTTTTTGTTTCATTCTAGAATTTCCAGCAACTTCCAGTATAAAGAAATACATATTCACATAAATTTATATATATCTATATATCTATATCTATATATATATATCTTACACTCTTATACAAATTGACAGTGAGAAAGAAGATAATGAATGGAGGGAATGGCCTTTCAGTTGTCTCAAGGACAGGAGACTGTCTTCAACATAAGTCTCTGCTTCTCATGCAGAGGAGTCTGGGCCCTCCATGGCACAGGAGGGCTTTCCTCCAGGGTTCTCATTTGTACCAGCTCTCCACAAGATGAACACACACAAGTGGACAAAACTGTTCAAGAGACTGGTAAGAATTACATTTACCATAAAATAATGTCCTCTATGGTAATTACAGCTCTGTTTTTCAGGAAGAAGCTGGATACACCTGCTGACAAAAGTGTGCATAGACTCATAAAGGTTTATATCACTAATGAATAATTCTCTCATATGATACCTACTGCTTCAAACTGAAAGTAAACATTTTATGTTAAAGAACTGAATATTCTTAAGCTGATCTTTTTCTCTTATATACCAAATATTCTCCTCCTTTAGGCTGGTTTTAATGTTATTATTTGCTATTAACTTCATAGCTGGCATTTTTAAAAGTCATATGTTAACATATGTGCTGCTAAATAACTCCTTGTATACACAGAATATATAGTTATTTAAGTAATGCGATGCAAAAAATGTAGTGCAGGCACTAACTTCTCCATCTGCAGTTCTACCTTTACTGGAAAAAAACCAAAACTACAGGAGATATAATGTTTTAACTCTTTAACCCCTTTTTGATATGTATTGAATCCCATTATAATGCATTTTTACTGGAAAAAAAATAAAGTGATTAATATTTTGCTACAATAGCTCCCTAATGTCATATTCCCTAACAAAATTCTTAGTCCATCATTTCTCTGAAAAAAATCACAGTGTTCCAATCTGTAAGTGTACTACCCAACTGGGACATGGCTTTTTGGCTGAATTTCTTCCTTTCTTTTCTTTTACTTCTTACAGGCAGAGAGGTGGAAGGCTGACAAGGACCCAACTATAAATCATTCATTTTCAAAATGATGTTTTGACCAACTTCTGGAAAAGTGGAAATGATTATTGCAGCCTTTGGGTGTGATCTAAATTATGCCACAGGCTACGGTTCCCTAAGTGACCATACAACACCTGCAAACTGCACATTCCTGTCATTTTCTTATTACTCTGATAATCCCATCTTTTCCAGTATTCCCAGCTAGAAGGTGATAGCCTGAAGGGCAGAAAGGGCAAGAGATAAGATCAGAAGTTTGGACTTTGATTTTACGGGAATTAGGTTCTGTGTTTTCCCCAGTCCTGTTAATAAAGCCACAGAAATTCTGAGTAATTTCTAACATATCCACAACAGGGTGTTTCACTGTTGTTTTGTGGTTGTTTGTTTTTTTTTCCAAGTCCATTCAGTAGATATTTTTCTAGCGCAGCTGGAACAACATGTCAGTGGAGATTCCTTCTTCTCCTTCTCTTGGTAAAAAGTCCTCTGGGACAGGATTGCCTTAAGCAACAGCAGTCAGGCAGGGGTACCGTAATGAAAGCAGTGACTTGTGATGTTACTGACCTTTGCAAAACTGTGCCTCTGGAAGGGCAATATCAAATACTATAGTAGCAAAAATTAGGCTACACCAGCAGCTATAAAAAAACTTAGGGAGTTGGATCTTATCACATTCATGCAGGAGAGATAAGCACAGTCTAAGCCCCTGAGGTAGCTCAGACAGCAAGATACAAACTTACAGAAAAGGGGACACTGATTCCCAGTGATGACTCAGCCTAGTCCACATGGACCCTCCGGCTGTGATAATTTGGTTTGTTTACTGTTTTTTTCAATAGACACTAATCCCCATTTTTCCAGGTAGTGACGCTGGCTGTGCTGGAATGCCTGCCTGAGTCTGTTAAAGATAAGTGAATCAGCTTTATTTATAAAACAGAAGGCAGGTTTTGACAGGTGTGGAGGCACCAGCTGCCTCCTCAGGCAGAACTGCACTACTCCTCCCAGTTCCTCCTAACTAGGATTAGCTCAATTTTAATTTCCAGCTGCTGGATTTTGTGATGCATGTGTGGGAATGTTTAGTGAAAGAGGTCTTTCCCTGCATAAGTACTTACTGATAATCGTAAATTTTCTTCCTATCTTTTCCTGAAGCAGATTGAGTAGACTGAGCTTGTGTGATCTCTGTCCACAGGGACAGTTAATAAAGGAAAGCTTTAAAAAAAGAAAAAAAAGTCTCAGATTTCTGCTCGCAGTATCGAAAGCCTTGGTGAGATCAACAAAGGTTACACAGAGACCTTTATTTTGTTCCCTACACTTCTCTTGCAGTTGTCTGAGAACAAATACCATGTCTGTCGGATGACACCGCCCTTGTTGCCCACACAGAAGCAGATCTGCAGTGTTTAACATCCTGCTTTGCAGAGGCTGCTGAGCTCTTTGGGCTGGAAGTCAGCTTAAAGAAGACAGAAGTTCTCTATCAACTTGCACCTCAGGAAGTCCCCCATCAACCCCATATCACCATTGGCCAATCAGAGCTCAAATCAGTCCAACAGTTTAATTACCTTGGTAGCCTCATCTCCTTGGATGGTAAGATTGACAGAGAAATAGACAACAGGTTAGCAAAGGCATATAGTGCTTTTGGAAAGCTTCATAAAAGAGTATGGCGTAATAAACACCTGAAGAAAAGTACCAAGATCAGTGTTTACAAAGCCATTGTGCTGTCAACTCTCTTATATGGTTCCAAATCATGGGTCGTCTACTGCCACCACCTGCGTCTCCTAGAATGCTTCTATCAACACTGTCTATGTACAATCCTAAACATCCGCTGGTCAGATTATGTGACCAATACATCTGTTCTAGAACAAGCAGCAGTCACAAGTATTGAGGCCATGTTGCTGAGAACACAGTTGTGCTGGGCAGGGCACATCTCCAGGATGAAGGACCATCGCCTTCCTAAGATCTTGCTTTATGGTGAATTTGCCACCAGCTGCTGCAAGAGAGGAGCCCCGAAGAAAAGATTCAAGAACTCCCTGAAGCAACATCTTAGCTGTGGAGGAACATCAGAGCGACTGGGAGAGATTTAAAGCCTGGAGAGACTTACACGGAGCCTAAGGAAGTCAACTATTTATGGACTTTCATGTTATTCCTCAGTTTATTCCATGTTTTATGTACCCTCACATGCATACTCCTGTATTAATCCCCTTGGTTTACATTATTTGGGGCTTGTCTGGACTTGCCCTCATGTTTTCCTGCCAAAAGTTGTTTACCACCTTGTCCTCCCCTGGCTTCCTCCTCATCCCACTGTGATTGGTTAAGAGGTGATGCAGTGTGGAGTGAGCTCCCATTGGTCCCTGTTGTTTAACTCCTCCCAAGATCCTCCCTACTTTTTCTCATTCCCCAATCCCGTGTTACCCTGAGATGTCAATCCCATGCTCCTCCCTAGTTATCAGGCCTTCCCTTACCCAAACCCTATATAAATCCTTGTTCTCCTTCAATAAAAGGGCCACTGCACCCTGATCTTCTACTGTACCAGAGCCCTTTGTGCCGTGTTGCATCCCTATTCCTCTTCCAACGGGCCGTGGCACTCAGCCTTGGCCATAGTGATCAACATAACCGATCTACTCTGGCCTCTGATCGGGAGGCCTGGAGACACACCATCTATAACACTGCTGTTTCCTTTGAGAACACACGCAGGATCACTCTCGAGGAGAAAAGACAACGCAGAAAGAACCGTGTCTTGCAGAATATACCACCTAAGGAGTCTTTCTGCTGTACCGTTTGCAATCAGACATCTATCTCGTATTGGCCTTATTAGCCACCAGCGTGCTTGTAACAAATGTGGATAGAGCCTTTCCAAAATCTTCGTTCATGAAGCCTAGCCATGATGATGATGAAAAAATGTCTCAGAAATGTTTCCAGTTTTTAAAAGATTAGACACTAGAACTAGGTATGGTATTCCAGTAACAGCCCACTAATGTTTTCTACAAACATGTCCTGCTTCCTCCCGCACTCCTGTGGGTTACTATTCAAACCTCATCCTTACATCACACAGAGCATTCCCATTCAGGTAAGATGCTCTCACAGAGTCAAGAAAAAAAATTATCAAATGTATTAACAATGGTCTTAAGCTAAAGGAGGGTACATTTTTCCACAACTTTTGTCATATGTCTTTCCTAGTCCACAGAGAGATTTTACTTTATATTTCCAATGGGAGTGCATACCCAGAATATTGGAGCCATTGTTCATCTGAGATGAGTCAACTCAATCTACTGTGACGACCTGTTTAGAGCCTAATTTGGGCAAAGCAATATTAGAGCAGAGCTAGTTGCAAGTATAACCTCTCCAAACATGCATTGGGCAAAAAATGTCTCCTCTGCAAACATCTCTGTGGGAGTCCCAGAAAGCCATGACATTGGTCTAGAAGCTCTACTGTCCAGCCAGACATGACCTTGGGTGGTTTGGACCACAAAGATAGAACAGAGCAGTGTGCAAAGGCTCATGGGAAAGCATCTAGGAAAGGCAGAAACATGGAGTAGTGTGAGAGAAATCTCCCAGTCCTTCTAGCTCGACCTTCAAGCATTCAGCCAGCTGGGCATCAGCCACAAGGCGCCTCAGTCGTCCTGTGCAGTCCTGCTGCTGTCCAAGGCTCTCTCAAGGCAGCTGCTCCTGCACTCCTGAGGCAGCAGGACAAGCTGCCAGGCTCCAAACAGCCCATGGAGCCTTGAGAGTGAAGGCGGTAGCAGAGTAGCAACTGCACCGGCAGAGTTCTCAGGTGCAGACACAGCACAGCTGCTCGGCATCTCCTGCGCGGAGAGCAGAAATAAAAGAAAGGAATGATCACACACCAGTATTTCTGTGGTAACTCTACAAGGATCTCCCCGGCCCACGTAGCTTGGGGCTCAGGAATTGCCCACCCAGACCGGGGAGGGACAAAGCGCTCTGGTGCAGCCACATGTCACTTGGGAGTGCAGGGTCAAAAGCCAAAGCACACGTCCAGGGCTTTCCCTCTTGGAGAAGGCCTTGGGGGTTGTGGAAGACACCTGACATGCAGCAACTCGAGAAGCTGATCTCGGCAGAGGATGCAGTACAAGTCCTCCAAATGCACACACTGTCTCCTCTGCACCCACTGTTCCACTGGGCCCATTGTTCCCACCCAGCTGCAGCACTGGCTGGGGAGACCAGAGGCAGCTTTCATCTCCTGTGCCTTCCTGACTCTGCTCACAGCACACAGGGTACAGCAAAAGCATACCCAGTCAGTACACAGGGAGCCAGTCCACCTGGACAGTGGCAGCAGCACTGCCCGACCTGCTTACTGCCTTAGATCCTGTGCCCTGGCTGCTTAGAGGGAAGCATGCCAGCTCTGTCCAGTTCCAGGGACTTGCATTCTATTGCCAAAGCTTTGGTATCTGCAGAGGACCTTTGAGTTGTACAATGCCCAGCCAGACTGACGTCACAGCCTCTCTCTGTAAGCTCCTGTGTCTGGAGGGGCTGGGAATATTGTTCTTGCCAGGTTGATCCATTCAGAGTCTCTTGCCCGTGTCTCTCTCTGGGAGCTCCTTCTTTCTAAGCAAAACCAATCAGCCAAACTAGAAACTTCTCCAAAGCCCACCTGTGTGGGAGCCTTAGAAAGCCATGACACTGGACTAAATAGCAGTAGTCCTGGATGTGTCTACTCCCAACTCCCCATGTGCCCTGGTGTGCTTTGTGCCCAGTTGCAAATGAAGCACCAGCAGCCACTCCCTCAACTCCCTTCTGTTCCCCACTACCCTGGTGGAATGGGGATGAGAATCCAAATTCCAACTTTAGAGAAGTTGACTAATATTAAATTTAAGAATACCTTCAAGAATAGATTTAGGATTAAGTTTAATAGTAAGTTTATTTCCTAAGTACAATAATAATAATAACTAGTTTAATAATAGATCAATTTTATAACAATTTAGTTTTATAAAACTCTAAATTAAAAGTTAGATAAAGTTAACTCCCAACTCCCATGTCCCCTGTTGTGCTGCTTTAATCCTAGCTGGAAATTAAGCCCCAGCAGCCATTCCCTCAAGGCCCTTCTCTTCCTTCCACCCCAGTGGAATGGGGAAGAGAATCAGAAGTCAAACGTCGTAAGTTTAGTAATAATAAGTTGAATAATAGCTCAAATAATATTTAATTTATGAGCTTAATAATAGAAAAATTTATTACTAATAATTTATTTTTGTTAAACTGAAACCTAAATATTTTATAAAATGTAATAGTTTAAAGCAAATTTTAATACAATAATAGTAGTAACTAATAATAAAAATTATAAGCAAAATGGAAAGGAAAAAAACCCAAAACTGTTGCTCTACACCTGCTGAGCAATTCCAACCTTCCTTCCCAAACCCAGTTCATCTTGCTTCCAGGTAACTCCCCAGTTTATTTACTGGACATGGTGTTCTGTTGTGTGGAACATCCCTTTTACTAATTGAGATCACCTGTCCCAGTGATGCTCCTCACAGTTTCTTTTCTGTATTTTCTCAGTGGCACGCGAAGAGGCACAAAGAAATGCTATCAACAATATTCTCATTCTGAGTCCGAAACACAGTACTGTAGCAGTTACTGAGAGGAAATTAACCCTATCCCACCTAAACCAGGACATCCCTCAAGTCTCCTCCCCAGCGCAGCAGTACGAGAAGCAGAAAAGGGCTTGGTGCTGTGCAGATACTGCTGAGCAATAAGAAAAACATCCCTGGATTATGAAGTTTGTTTTCAGCACAAATCCAAACACAGCCCCCATGCTGGTCACTAATTTACCAGATCTGTCTCACGCATCTCCAGCCCCCTGGCCAGCGTGTCAGCAAACCATGAAAAGAGCCCTCAGACATCCTTCAGTGTGGGAAAGAGGACAGAAAATGCCCTGAGCCTCAACTTAATGTAAACTACCAACGGCCTCCTGGCTTGTGTCAGCAATGGTGTTGCCAGCAGGACCAGGGCAGGGAACATCCCCCTGTGCTGGGCACTGGTGAGGTCACACCTCAAGTGCTGTGTCCAGTTCTGGGCCCCTCCCTTCAGGAAAGACATTGAGCGGCTGGAGTGTGTCCAGAGGAGGGCAACAGATCTGCGGGAGGGTGTGGAACACAATTCCTATGGGGAGCAGCTGAGGGTACCAGGGTCATCCCAGAGACTTGTCTTCCTTAAAAGAAAAGAAATTTAAACGAACAACATGTAAGAGTTTCTTTTCCTTTTGTCAAAGGAAAGAATTTTAGTATTTTTAGAAAACATTTTAAGTGCAGAGACTTCTGCTGCACAAACCCATTATTTAACTGTATAAATAAAGCACTAACTAATAAAGAGTCAAGTGTTTGTTGGGGTTTTTCTTCAATTCAGCATGAAAACTGAATTCTGCTTCATTGCATAATAATGTAGGAATTGCCAGTGGATGAGGGAATGGCTGCGGATCTGGTCTGCCTAGACTTTAGGAAAGCCTTTGACACTGGTTCCCACAGCCTTCTCCTGGAGAAAGTGGCTGCCCATGGCTTGGATGGGTGCACTGTTTACTGGGTGAAAAACTGGCTGTGTGTCTGGGCCCAGAGGGTGGTGGGTAGTGGAGTCACATCCAGCTGGTCACCAGTGGTGTTCCCCAGAGCTCACACCTGGGACAAGTTCAGTTTCATATCTTGGGATTGGGGTCAGTCTCTTCTCCCAAGAAAAAAGAAGTAGGACAAGAAAAAATGCCTCCAAGTTGCACCAGGGGATGTTTAGATTGGATATTAGGGAAAATTTCTTGACTGAAAGGATTTTCTAGTCTTGGCACAGGCTGCCCAGGGCAATGCTGGAGTCACCATTCCTGGAGGGATTTAAAAGCCAGTAGATGTACTCAAGGACACGGTTTAGTGGAGGTCTTGGCAGTGCTGGATTAAGGGTTGGATTTGATGACCTTAAAGATCTTTTCAAACCTAAATTTTCTGTGATTCAATGCATGTAAATATTATTCTGTATATGCTCATGTTTATATCCCTTATAGTTTGAGGTCAGGTAAAATTATTAGTTTAGGTGGCTTTAAGCTTATATTCATTAACTCTCTGTGGAACTTGGGTCTTTTGAAAGACGCTTATAATAACTTTTAAAAGTAGCCTAAACTAAATAAAATAAATGTGCCGGCTGTCAAACTTAATTATGAATATATAGTTTTCCAGTGTCATGGATTGTTTAGATCTGGTTCTGTAATCTGGAAGTTAAACTATCTACACAACCCCAAATTTGAGGAGAATGATTCACAGTTTTATGGTTTGAGTGAGCTTTTCCTGTGCAGTTTGTGATTACAGACATGATCATACAGATCTTCACTTAGGGTGTTTCAAGGTCAATAGATGAGATGTTCTATATGAAAGCTTCATACCTTAAGCTCTAACTGCTGCAAAAAGTGGAGTAAGCCTTTTAATTCCAATGGGACAGTGATTTGTTTTACTGGAAAAACATCTGACACTTTTTCAAACAATCTTTAACACTCAGCTAAAATATCACCTCCCCATCTGACTCCCAAATAACTGACTTGGTTAACGCTTTATTTGGTCATTTTCAATGCAAAAGAAAATATAATTATTTAAAATTTGGTGGTGTATCCTCCAAGAGCAAGAGAATATAGTGTATTGCCAGACAAATGAGTAGGAATGGCTTCCTAAAACATAGTTAGCATTTCATACATGCTTTAAACTCAGTTATAGTCTTATTTTCAACTTTTATATTGGGAAAGCAAA